TTCAATGGCTTTTCTTCTGAAGGCGCCTTAATGTCTTCAACTTTTATGGTCACGTCATCTAGTACCGAACAGTCCGTTCTGCTCTTCCGAATGAATTTGAACCGACATATAGGGATAACTAACAGTGATTTATCTTCCGAGTTCTGAACATTTTCAATGAGCGTAGAAGGAAAAAGTTGAGAAAAAACTAACCAACGATGGTGAGAAGGCACGACGAGGACATCTGCTCCTTTGGGATGCCCTACGCGGTGATAGAGACTGCGTACATTCAGTTTGCTGTTCATTCTCGACATTCTTATCGACCATCTCACCTGAAACTGGACACATTTACCACTAACCTATAAATTACAAGCGTATGAAGTAAAGCGGAATGAGCCATTATTTACCAGTTCAAGGGAATATTAATGGCATGGCGCATGCCCCGCGTTGGCGGAGGCTGGTAGTCAGAGGTCCAAATGTCACGGAGGTGCGTCACTGAATTATGACACCCGCCTGCACTTTTGTTTTTAACTGTAGCCGCAAAACAGGGATATCCCTCAGACTGCGGACCGGACTACTTGGAAAGAGGAAGAATCAAAAGAACTTGTTGAGCGCTGCTGCCTCTTCAAGAGTGGAAATGAGACCTTTGAAAATCGAGATTACCCTCTCCCTGGCAACTTCAGACGACGGAAGGTTACGCGGTAATACGGTTATTCCGCTACTAGGTATACCGAATCAAGAGAGTATAAAAAGTTGACATCAGCGAAGGAGAACTTGTCCGATCATTCCTTTCTTTGCATTCTGCACGCACAAACGCTGTTCAACACAAAGTGAGGCCTTCCAATCTGGTTTTTTCGCTCTATTTTTTTGGCCACATTGTTTTTAGTGTTTCACCCGCACAACTGATCATTGTTGAACGAGGTGTGCCTTCAAACGAATCGAGCGCCATGTTAAAGACCGGTAGATTTTCCGAGGAGGAGTCTCTAGACATTAACGCTGTTTCGCGAGTGTTCGCAAAAAGTTATGGCTCTCGAATGCATAAAAACAAGACTTTAACACTGAAATTCCACAATGAAGATACCTCTTGCGATGGAAAATATTCAAAAGAAATTCAGCACATTACTGGAAGAGAGTACACCTAGTATTTTCCACACCTGCTTCCCCTTCTCCCACAGCACTATTTCGAACAAAGCTGTAGGCAATCAAAAACGGGTACTTTTGCAATTTCGCGCAT